CTCAGGGACTGAAAGAAGCGCTGGTGGAGACCCTGAACGGGATCCTCTGCCCGGTGCAGGGCGTTCGTGCTGCGGCCGAGGAGCAGGTGAAGGTGCTGGAGGTGACGGAGGGTAAGTATAGAGGAGTTGGGGGTGCTGCCTGGGCTGTGGGACAGAAGGCCGTGAGGTCCTGCTGTGGGCTTTGGCCTCCTGAGCCTCAAGCCGTTCCAATCAGAGCTGCCCTCCCCTTTTTATTCCGGCGAAGGGAAAAGCTGTCGCCGCGAGTGAGGGTGGAGCGAGAGGTTCCCGTTCGGGATGCGAATGATTCCTGAAAAGGAAAGTGAAGTAAGGGAAGGCTCACCTCCCCTTTTTTTTGGTTCCGGGTTCACTTCAGGATCCGGTAGCCAATCATTTCTTTCCCACAGTGTTGGAGGTACCAGATTCCTTTTCCAGCTTTTTTCCCCTTAAGAGGTACAGAAAAGAAAATGTCTTTGGTTGCTGTATTTTGGCTGTGTTTATACAACATGCTTACCTTGGTTAATGAATTAGCCCCTTTTCTGGATTTGCACAATATCTTGAACCATAATCTAAACAAATAGACCTGGTTTGCACACACATTAAGCCACAAAAGAAACAAGCTAAGGCTTACACTAACCAAACCTCTCATGTAACCTTCATCTGCATAACCAATCTATTGTCCCTTCCTTTCCTCACCCCAATTTAAATCCTAGATCAGTCTAGCCACTGTTTGCATCTGATGAAGTGAGCTGCAAAAAGTGAGCTCACGAACCTTTATCCCTTTTAATAAAATTTGTTAGTCAGAAAAGCTGCCACCAAACTCCTTCTGATTTTTTACTAATGAAACCTAGGATGTTGTGAGGTACTAAATTTTTATCTTGATTAAGCTTGATGGGTGAAAACAGTCATTGTGTTATGATGAATTATGGGGATAGAGGATCATCTTTCTAGGTGATGTGCTGATGTGGTCTTAATAAATAAGATAAAAGGTTTCCAGCAGGTTATTTAAAATGTTTGGGGCACTACTGAAAAATGGAAAATACTGGAATCCTAAATTGAAGAATGAGTGACCCGAAGAGTTCATAGAGCTAAGTTGTGTGTGTTCTGAAAAACTGAATTATAAATGTATAGGAACAAAGGTTATATTGTGAGTTAATATTTAGTTATATAAGTACTATAGAATCAAATAGAGAGGTATTGGACTTGCAGGTTATGATGGAATGCTTCTGAAAGACAACCGTTCCTACGTAAGACACCACAAGTTTCTGGTACAGTAATGGAGGGAGGATGGATTCCCCCCCCCCACTTTGGAGCATTTTGTATGCTCAGTTAAGATGAAGTAGTTGTGTGAATTATTTATTCCATAAAATATAATCATGATCTACTTGCTATGAAGGCTGTTAGAGATCAGCAGGAATTAAAATATCCTGCAACTCTTGTCTAGAGAAATTGGAAGTAGTTAGAACCTTCTCAGTTCTATAGAACCCTATAATTCCTTTTTGATAAGCTCCATATGGGCAAAGCTGTAAGATTGTGAGATTTAACAGAAAGCATTGAAGATTTTGAATGATAACATGTACTAAGTCTGCTGTAAGATATTCTTTGTGAAGTTGCCAGGAAGACTGTTTGGAAGCTTCAGTTTTGGACAGCATCTGTTGGCCTCATTCTTAACCAAGAGCACATAATTCCAATGCTGTAGGGCAGCCTTCCCAAACCTGGGTGTTCTCTATTTATATGGACTTCAACTTCCACAATTCCCACTAATAATCACCCAATCTGGAACTGGATAAGGCTACAAAGGGTTGTGCATTGGCTCACCTTTACCTTGAGGTTGTAATTCAAGATACCAGTTTGAATTTGTAAATGTTCTAAGCCAGATGTGGGCCACATGCAGCCTCAAATACCTTTTTGTGTCCCTGAAATTTCTTCAGATTGTGCTACTGAGTGCAGTTGCTAAAAATAAGTGACACTTTCCCATCATTTGAAGGAGGGAACACATAAAACTATAATGTAATGTTAGCATAGTTACACAACAAAGTCAAGAGTAACTCTTCAGATACTTAGGCAAGGCCATGATTTTCTATTTTTGTCTATGTGCATGATGTTTAAGTCTACTTTAAGTCATTGCTTCAACCACTAATAGGTTACCTATCCTAGCCATAAATGGTCCAGCTTAGAAACTTCTTCATTCTTATAAGTTAAAGTATCTTGATGATTACATCTATATGTGTTAGGACTATGCAAATATTCAGTTTGGAGATTTGATTTGAAGGTGATTTGATTGAAACAAACAGGAAAGCCAAATAATTGAATTGATTCATTTCAGATTTATTTTACTAACTGATTTTTGCAGTATGTTCTTTTAAAACAATATGAAATATGGATTTTGATTTGACTACTTGCAGAGCTATCAAAACATTCCAGTGTTGAACCATCATTTTGAATTTACATCATTCGACATTTTGAATAAGTCTAGAACTAATTTGCATATTAGTATTATCCATATTCCTGCCACACTATCTTATGTGGCACTAGTATGTGTAAAATTATTTTCAATGGCAATTGCAAAATCACTTTATAGCCTTACAAATTTATTAGAATCTAAGCTTGTATGTTTTCTAGAGGTCCTGAATAATGGTTTCTACAACTGACTTTTAATAGCTTATTCTCTCTCTCTCCCCCCCCCCCCCATTTTCACCTAGCATTAACAGATCTGGAAATTAAGTATTTTGTGATCTGTTGAAAGAGAAATGACCTGTTCCTCTCAGCTTTATTGTATGCTTACTATGAAGTAAAACTTACTATATTCATTTGAGGTTACTTCTGGATAATCAGGTATAAAATTGCAGTCCCAGTATACAGAACAATTTGAGATTTGGCTGTCTACTTTCTATAAAATTGCTATTTCTGGAATGGCAAGAAAACTACAGAAAATCACAAAAGAAAAATAACCAGAAAAGGAAATAGGTCACTTTCTGATTAGTGCCACAGGAGAAACCGATCTTCCATCTAATAAGTGGGGGTATGCATATGTGTAGCACTTAATTCTGAAACCACTTTACATACTTTCTTAGCAATCTTTACTATAGCCCTACAAGTAAGACTAGTATTATTTTACAGATTTTGCTGACACTTAAGCCATTATGTATGCCTCATCAAATTTGAATTGTAGACGTTGTCAGCTTAGGCATTAATCTATACTAGGAACTGAACAGAAACTTCTTTCCTACTGATTTGCTGGACCCCCTGGACACCTGGCAGTGATGGAACTTGGAAACTCTTACGTTTTAATTAAATCTTGATTTTAATTTGCTTTTTAATTACATATTATAAGGGGAAGCTGAGATATAAATAAATGCATAACTAAGTCTAGTTCTGACTTCTCTATGAAAAACTGATGCCATCAGATGAAGTTACTAAAAACACTCCTAACTTCCACTATTGTCTTCCAGCTACAAAACAGCATCTAAATGCATTCTGAAACTGACAGCCATTTTTAAGGAGTATCTTCCTGTCTCAAACTACTTATACATCTATTCTTTTGTTTCCAAAATCATCAACCATCAGTATTTCCATCTTGTTTTGATTAAATACAGATTATTCACCCACATTACAACCAAAATTGACACTAAACATTGTTTCAAAATTTCTGTAGCCTCTTTGAAGCTCTTATTAGTTTTAGTCTGTGGTATAAACAATTAGTGGTTATACAGTGACTTCATTTTTGAAAGTCAAGGGAGAAATTGCTTTCTAGTTCTCATTTGAGATTTTCTGGAATTCTTCCAGAATAGACTAAAACTATTCTGCAAAGTAACAGCCCTTAGGGATCAAGACCAATCTTAAGTATGTGGTGTTTACTGAACCTATCTGATGGACCTTGCGTTTGGATAAAGCTGGTTGTGCAGTTTCATACAACTGGTTTTGGCTTCAGTTATACAAGTAGCTTGAGATGCCTAACTCTATCAGTTGGTGTGCGCGCATGTGTGTGTATAAACACACAAGAGGATCAGTGCCATTTCCTTGCCTTGGGATAGTTGTCTTTTACAATAGAAACAGTGTACCTTAAAGCACTTGAAGAAATAAAGGATAAAGGGCTTCTTAAAAACTTTTAATTGAAGGCTTTATTGTTCCTTCATAGTATGACACATGAGCCTTGTGTATAAAGTAACTTTGGCTGGCAAAAGGATGCATGTTTTTGACAAATTCAGCCATTTGACAATTCAGTTCCATTGTGGTTATAATGATGAGTTTTGAAGCAAGGTTCTAGCAGTGCTTCTGTAGCCAGAATTAGCTTATATTCATGAATGCTTAAACCATACAAAAATAGTTATTTCTCTAACAGTTAAATATAAACTCTATTTATAATATTTAAAACAGGTTCATATTAACCAACAGTTAAGCCTTCTAAGTATAGTGTGTAATTATTATGTACAGTAAATTTTAATGGTTAAAGCTTAAGAAATTCTTCAAAATTCACGGAGCTATTCATGAACTGCTTGGATCCTGTATGAATCTCAGGCTGTTCCTATGAAGATAGCAGCGTCTTCTGCTGGGAAAACAATCTTTCTTATACCACAGAAATTCAGCAATAAACTGTTCCCCAAAGTCAGTCTGTGCTAGTTCAGTGTGAGGGACAGCTCAAAGCCTGGTAAAGAGAATGGTGATTTGCAAAATATTACCAGTTTGGAATATCTGCACAATCCTCCTTTATCAGGAAAATAGGTAGGTACCTCTCCACAGCACAGGGGGTTAAGCAAGAAGATAAAGGAATCCCTACCCAAACGAAATTAGTAAATGGGGTACAAAAGTAAACTATCCAGTTGCCAAGATTTCTGTATTCTGTAACCTGACTCCCCTTGTCCTATTCAGTACATCTGTGAGAATCTAGCTTCCTTGGTTGTCAATGGCTTCTAGGGGATTGACATTCAAACCATTTTAGAAATCTGTAGCTATGCTAGGCAGCTCCAAATTTTATGAGACCCCTCTTAAATTCCCCCCATCTGCCCATCTCCCCCATCTCTGCCCTTTTGGCCTCCCTGCACAGTGGCACTCCTTAGCGGCAGCGCTGGGACTGAAGTAGAGGCCTGGGGCCTTCAGCAGTCTCAGCTGGTCAC